GAACAAATCTTGCCCCCAGAAATATTTAAATAAATTTTTAATGTTTAATGCAAATTCGGATAAACATATACTTGATGTACTAAACCTTGTCAGGGTCTTAATGCCCATAATATTTAGTGCACATTATTTTTATTTAGTTTAACCTTAGTGATCCTTTTTTTTGTTGTTGACTTGTTGGTGATCTGATATGAAATATACTCAATAATAAATAAATGCGTTACGTAAAATATTTAACGTTATTGACAAATTTTTTATTGGAGGTAGAGTATAGATAGTTATGACCGATGGGACGTTCATGCACGAAGTTGGGCAAATCAAGCCTTAATTCTCAAATATATATATATATATATATATATGCACTCTATATTTGAGAATTAAATGAGAGGCCGAATTATACATAACCCACTTTAAAATCAGTTACAAATAGCATCTCTCTTATATTTTAAAATTTAAATTAACCTCCTTAATTTTTTACCTTTTGATTTAGTGTTACCATCATTTACGTGAGCTATTACATCTGATTAGTAAGACATGTGGCATATTTTATATGTAACGTTAAGTATATATTTACGTAATTTTCTGCTCCTAAGGAATGAAAATGTCATTTTAAGTTTTTAACTCTAAGAAAACCTCGTTTTAAAAAAATAAAAACTTTGGATCAGCCCATGAAGCGAGCGGCGACAAAGTGGGCAGCGACGGCAACCTGTTTATTTCTCAAAAGTAGGTAAAAATTGGCAGAGATTAGCATATAGGAGGCAATAGTAGTGCTGAAAGTTTCATTATTGTATATTTTCTTCGAGGTTGGGGATAACTTCTTTTTGTTGAAGTAATTAGAAACTTGATTTCTATATGAGTTTGACAAAGTAATTTTTCTTAAACTGTGATTCCATAGACGACCTGAAAAACATGTGACAGCTAGCGCTTCATCTTCTTGTTTCTACGAGTAGAGTTCTTTACTTTAGTTGCTGTTTTGAAATTTCTACTTATATATGTTTTCTGTTACATCAATGATCGCCTCTCTTAACCCAACCCTGAGAATAATTTTCTATGGTCTGCTTAGTCTTTCTTTTGTCTTCTTCAGTGGCAGGAGAAGCCGTGTGTGTGTGTGTGTGTGTGTGTGTGAATCTAAACATCTGAATTAGTTTTGCTCCAGAAAGTGAGGGCCACATGGGCTCTTTAGTCGGACAATAGTTCCGTCGCCGTTTTATTATATGGGGAAAAAAACATTTTCCCCTTTATTTAAATTATGAAAGGTTTAAGTATTTTTACTTCAAATAAGATACTACCTCCAGTCTTTAAATAAGGGTTAGATAACTGTTTTGGAAAGATTAAGAAAATTAGTTAACTTAGTTATTTATCACAAATGTATACCAGTCTCCCTCTCTAAATTATACTCCTCAATGTGCATTGAATAATTAGAGTTATTACTTGGTGGGAATCTCTTACAATTAATAGAGATATTTGATGAAAAGACAGAGAATAAAATAGATTGAAGTCTTATATTTATGATTAAATTTAATCTCCAACTAATTTTTATATATTAAGAACTGTAAAGCTAGTATAAATATTTCCATCCCAAAAGAGATAAGTGCGTATATAACTAAGTAACCCTAGCAATGAAGAGGCGGGGAGGATAAAAAGAAATGGGTTTGTCTTGTCCTTGTGGAGAACAAACTTTTCATAAGCATGCATACAAAATAAGAGTGAGAGAGAATCATAGTATACACAAACGGGAAGACACATGTATCCTTCTTCCAAGAAAAAGTCACCACGCCTTCTTTTGCTAAGTACTGTAAACTAGATGAGGAGTCATCATGATTAAGAGCTCATGTGCTTCCCCTTCATTACCTTTCTCATTTGCACCAAACTTTTTTTTATTATTAAAAAGGAAAAAAACGAAGAAGTCATTTTCAACTTGCACAACGGCCAGTAAAAGCAGCAGCATTTTCCATAGTTGGCATTAATTAATCAATATATAACAAAGGATATAGTAAACTAATGTTGAACCGTACGCAAAGTTGATCCCTTTGTTTGGTTTCTGAACACACATGATTTACTGATCATTGACACCTGGCCTAGATCCTTGATGGAACCACCACCAAAAGTACAGCAAAATGATGGAGTATTAGTGTTAATATTAATAAACAAATTAAAGCTTCAAGTTCCATCAAATCTTATTGGTGTACGCAATCTTGTTCACGTGGCTTTAGCCAATAGAAATCCCAACGTAGAGACAATAACCTCAAGATTTATGACTAATCCACTCGCCGATGTTGTACTTTAAAGGCTTATGAATCACTTCGCATGTGCCTCACTCTCACATATGTGTGCCGGCTCGCCCCTTATTTATGTGTTCCTTATCCAATTTAATTTTGAAAGCGATATATAGCTTATCCAACCTCAAGCCAAACCCTATCATATTAATTTATTATTATTTAACTCAAAAATGTAATTTTTAAATCTAAATTCTTGGACTTCTTTTTTTTTTAAAAAAAAAAAAAGAAATTAAGACGGATACCTTGAAACCTCTTTTGTTTTAAAGAAAAATTGTTTGCACGAATAAATACTCGGACGAAATTGATTAATCAAGGTTCTAAAATTTAAACGGTTGTTGGGACCGTACGCAGAAGATAATTATTAATTAACCAGCATTAAAAAAGTTAAGAGCCAATCAAAATAAAAAACAATCATTAAACTAAATCAGACTACTTGATGAGGGCTCAACTTGTAATTGATTAAGCCTTGCTAGACATTTAGCTACCATCTAGAGCCCTTATGCTCTTCCTTTATATATAAACCCCTCATCAAACCCCACCTTCTTGATCGCTTACACACTATTCAACCAATATGTGAGACTATAGTATATATTTTCACCTGTGTAAGTGCTTCTTTTGTTGGCGAAGATTATTAACGGCCACAATGGAATTATGTAGATGAAGCGACAGGGTAATTAAGGAGATGGAGAATATGAAGGAGGAAGAAGATAACGGCAAATAGCTAGTAATTCCTCTTCTGTTTCCTTTTTAATTTTTTTTTTCTTGTGACATTGTTAGTACCTGTAATTTGGATTCCAACTACTCTCTGTGGTCCTTAACTGGGGTCAAACAAAGAGCACACAAATATATTACACACATAAACACGGGTCTGAACTTTTAACCTCCTTCCCGAAGAGGGGCTTGGTTCGACTACATTCAAAAAGAGATGTGTAGTTATAAATCACTTGGTAAAGGAAAGGTGAGAGAAATATTTAACTAAATAAGAGTAAAAGTGAAAAAAATGATTAAATGTTTCGACACTCTCCAACGTGTAACTTAGCATACCTATTCAAAAAATTATAGCTCATATATAAAAAGGGAGGAAGGGAGTATCAATTAAGTTTTTCTAACATTACCCTTACTTAAAGTCATTAAGTAATTATGAGAAAGAATATAATGTAGAATTAAATTTTTTATCTAAATATGGCTATAATATTTTTAGACAATGTTATTATGTTATTGACTTTAGTCATCTATTCTAGATGGTTAGATATGTCTTATCAGAGCGACATGAGGTAGTGCTTATTATTTTATAAAAGGAAATTGTTTGGGGAGGTGCAGGTGGAAGATGATATTTATAATTCCCTGATTTGGAAACTCATAGGAAACCGTATACACAAATGTCTGTTCGACACGTGGAGGTACTTTGAAATTCTTTCAGGTTGTTCTGACCATCTGCTAGCTGCTTTACAACTCCCAGATAACAGTATAATTAAACTGCAAGTTGCAGACTCCCAAGCCTGATTAAGAAAAACTTAAACATTAATTAATATAATTAGCGTGATATAATTCAGATGAAAATAGAATCTAACATGCTTTCAGCCATCATCAGCTTCTGGGAACTTTAGATAATCCAAATTTACTATAGATCTCATCCACCATACCATTTTTACCCAAAAGCTAGCTTTCCTTGGAGAATTCCTTTCATCTTGTCAGTAAATATTTTTCGTAAAAGTCCAAAAGAACACCCATGCATTATCAACTTAATAGATGTATACTCCAAGTTATTTTTTTTATTTGTAATTTTAATGTGGGATATGTATTGAGATATTGCATAAAATTATAAGCTTGAGGATTTATAATTATCTTTTAGGGTTGAAGACAATTCTTTAGTTTTCATTCTTCAGAGAATATATCATAGTGAACTCTTGTCTCACCCGCTTTTGTAATTTACCAATAAATAGATGAATCAATATGGAGATGTATAAGAATAATTATTATATCCTTTGTATACTACTCCTCCTTATTATAAGACCCAATTTGACTTTAATAAAATATTCTGTCCATTAACTGTATTATTGTTCAAACCATGATACTTGATAATGTTATAGGCCAGGTTTAAAAAGACTCAGGGAGATGTGTGATATGCTCGCGATATATAAATTAATAGGATTCTATTCTGGCACTAATGCATAAAAAATTCCATAATGAGAGACATTTGAACAGAAGACGTAACTAAAAATACAGTATTTCCAGTATATAAAAATTGTAGGCCTACTTTGTAACGTGTCAGAGACTCATATGGCTGACGGCGCCATTAAAATACTCGAAATTTTATTTAAAGTGTTACTCTCTACCCGAGTAATTTAATTTTAATTTTAACATCGGGAGATGTGTGATATGCTCGCGATATATAAATTAATAGGATTCTATTCTGGCACTAATGCATAAAAAATTCCATAATGAGAGACATTTGAAACAGAAGACGTAACTAAAAAATACAGTATTTCCAGTATATAAAAATTGTAGGCCTACTTTGTAACGTGTCAGAGACTCATATGGCTGACGGCGCCATTAAAATACTCGAAATTTTATTTAAAGTGTTACTCTCTACCCGAGTAATTTAATTTTAATTTTAACTTTAATGTAGAAAAGTACATACAGATACATCATGGTAATTAACCATTTTTCATCAGGCGGCCCCTCTTTCATCTTCTTCGATCAACTTTTTTCTTCTTATAAAGCTTTCCTAATTGCGAAAAGGAAAATAATATGGAAAGGCACCACCAGCAACCTCTTGGTTTGGCTTTATAACACAAGTAAGATTTTCTCGCTTGTCCCAAGAATTTCTATCTGCACTGAACTTTTTTTTGTGCGCGTTTGTTCTTGTGCGTATTGTGTATTCTCTCTGCATAGAAACGTAATAGAGCTCAGAGAGAATCTTGCAGAAACCCTAAGTGAGTAGAGAGGGAATATGGGAAGAGGGAAGATTGAGATCCGAAGGATCGACAATTCAACGAGCAGGCAAGTGACTTTCTCAAAGAGGAGAAAGGGATTGATCAAGAAGGCGAAAGAGCTGACAATACTGTGTGATGCAGAAGTTGGACTCGTCATATTCTCCAGCACTGGGAAACTTTATGAATATTCAAACACCAGGTCTGATCCATCATCATCATTAATAAAATGCTTCGATTATTCATCTTTGAACTTAGAAGCTGTGATATAGAGTTCGGTTTATATGTTCATATATATATATATATATATATATAATGAGCAACAGAGATACAGTATGCTGGCTATATATATATGTTTGTTGCCTTAGATTTCGACTGTAATTTAACGAATACCCGTAAAATTTCCGCAAACAGTTAGACCTCGAAGAAGCTTTTAGGGTGTCAACGTACTGTAGGATTTGGAGGATAATCTTAGACGGAATATTACAAATGACCCTATAAATGCTAAGTAGAGGCCCTTTATGGCTTAATTAATAAACTTGTGGATTTTGATTATGACAAAGTTAGCGTGCTTAATTATCTAGATATTTACCATACATAGCTTCCTCAGTTTATCTTTTGTTTGGGGTTTGAATCAATTAAGTGAACTAAAAAGATATATGGGGTTTGCGCTTCCCAAAAGAAGTAAACACAGGTTTGAATTTTTATAACTGCAGCTGTATGTATATGTCGGCACTGCGATTACAGCAAAACTGTATTCATAAATTGCCGTGAAATTTCATAACTGCAGGCATTTGGGTGGTATAGGTTCTTAGATTCACTGCCAAATGGCTACACTTTTTATTGACTGCAATTATTTTGGCTATGGTTAAGCTCAAAGCCGCAGTCACAGACTATATATATGGCTGTTATGTTCCTTTCGTTTCAAAAGTAATGACCACTTTCTACACCCAAAAAGAAAAAAAAGTAATTACCACTTCTGGGGATTTCTCAGAATAACTATTGCTTTAACTTTTCACGGAATTATTATTTGTTTTCTTACTGGTTTACTCCTTGATTGATGTCTTAATCTACTTCAATATAGGAAATTTAATTGTGTTAAGAGTGTTTTAGTACAATCAAGGAACAAAAAACTGAACCAAACATTAAACCGATTGAGGTAGTGGTTCAAGGGTCAATGGGTCACACCAGATCGGGATCAAACTAGTCATATTAACATAATATACCTCCAGTCCTTAATATAAGACCCTGTTTGACTTTTATTTTAGTTCTAAATATAAAACCCCAATCCACTTTGTCTCTCATGTTTATGCATTTTTTCCAAGATAGTCATTCTAATAATTATAGCTCTAGCCAATATAATTGATTAGTAAGAATATTTTAGGAAAGACAACATCTATTTATTACAAACAACTAACTTAACTGTTTTCCTTAATCTCCTCAAATTAGTCAATCGGATCTTATAATTAGGACCGAAAGTAGTATAATTAATTGAAAATAGCAAAATACAACAACATTAATAATCACTAATAACAAAATACAAGAAAATACAATAATAATTTGATTGTAACATTAATAAAGTACAACAACATTGAGAATATTAATCTTTATGGTTAATCAGTAACTAAAATATAGTAATCATTGATACCAAAATCATTATTAAAATTCATTCAAATCTATAATGACTAAGATATTAGGAGCTGAATGAGAAAAATGGGACTAATAGCGACATAATCATCTAAACCAGCTCACTTAAGTTTTTACTAGTTTTCACTTGTTCATCCTAGTTTGATAGTTTGATACTGGTTTAATTTCCAACTAGTTCAACACTGAAACCATACTTTACCACTAAGTGTTTTATTGTTAAACTGGCGGTTTGATCTGGTTTTCTTCCCCCTTGAGTACAATACAATATCATTAGATTGACTACAATCTAAGTAATTTAATTATTTTCTTGATGTGGATTAAAAAAAACCTCTAAGTGGCAATATTCTAAAATAAAGGAAGTATATATATGACAGCTAAGATTGCATTATCTTCATACATAGTTATCTCCATTTAATATCCACTCTTAAAGTCTCTAGTCTTCTCTCCCCAATTCAACGAGGTTTAAAAGAGGAAATCAATGTAAATAAGGTTCAAAAGAAATAATGATTAAGTTGATCCGCTCTCTTTATTTAGTGTTTTGAATTGAGGAAGATGGTGATTCCGATTTCTTTTTCTTTCAAATTTTATCGTTATTGGTGCTCAAAGAAAATGGTTGTGATCACTTTTTTTTAAAAACAATAAAAGATAATTGGGGAAGACAATTTTCACTTGCAAATCAGACCTTAAATTTTTTTGCATTGAGTTTTACGACAAAAATTTCACAAATCTGTCGCATGCCCTAATTTTTGTTGAATTTTTCTTGATTAAAAATGGAATTTTCCTTGGCAATTTTTCTTTAAAACTTTTTGTAGTAAGGATAACCCCTTTTTCATTGTTTTTCAAAATTAAAATCTTGATTTTGAAATTTTAATTTTTATGTATATTTTCGTACATGGACTTTATAAAGGGAAACTTATAATATCTTATTTTTCTTGTCCTTGAAATTCTCTAGTCTATGTATGTACGTATGTATATGCCAATAAGAAGAAATTCAATATTGAAATAAGAAGAAAAAAAGAGTATTTATAATAGGTAAAGCAGGAGGAGGTTGATGTTCAAGAAACAAAATATAGAAAAAATCCAATAACACACACGATCATATATTGTGTATTGAGAAAGGAAACGTCGTAAACTATAGAGCTATACTTTTCAAAAGACTAGGCTCCTTTGTCGTTTAATTTTCTTGAATATTTATGAGAAAATATTAAAATTTGTACTTTATATGCATATTATATATATATGTACTCTTCCTGTCCTTAATATAAGACCCATTTAACTAATTTGATTACATTAAGGAAGTTAGGTAAGTTAGTTAATTATAAGAAATGTGACACGTTTTTCCTAAAATATCATAATCATCTTTCTTAATACCCTATCTTCCTCTTCTACTTAATTATGATTGAGGAAGTATCCGTAGGAGCAATTTAGAGAAAATTGATAAAGATAAGAAATGGGTCTTATATTTAAAACCAAAACCAACTCAATAATTAAGTCTTATATTAAGGATCACAGAAGTATATTATATCAAGGTGATCCCGAAATTCTTTCTTTCCCGCTCCCACGTGATTCAGAGAATCGTAGGTAGAAATCATAAACAGTACCAGGAACTATCTTCATCGGCAGAAAACATTCCAGGTAGGTAGATTTATATCAAACAGTACTCCAAACATGTTCCGCACTCCAACTTTACACACACACACACACACACATAGCTGGAGTTCAATGAGATTAATATCTGTATAAAGCCAGCAACTCCTCCGGTTAGGTTCTGATTACTTAACCTTTCACATAATCCATGATGTGAGCTTTTAATTAAATTCCTTTCACAATCTCTGAAGGTATACTTGCCAATTTTAGAAAGCAAGCTAGGTTTAATAAAGCATAAAGCATTCTTAGTGGATGTCAAGTCTGAACACAATGAGGATGTCGCAAGTATATTAGGTAGCACACCACCACCAGTACAGAGCCTGTCCTAAAAAGCTAAAATAATTTCAAGTCTCATCAGGAATTTTCATTATTACACATACAGGCGAATGCATGCACCAGAAATATATAAACTATTGTCGCCACTAGTTTCGGCACACAGATAGTGCCATATATATATATATATATATATATATATATATACCACTAATATTATAGAGCCGAAAAACTCAATCCTAAAAGAAGATAAAAGTTATTAGCTAAGCAATTTAGATTCCTCTTCCTCAGCTTGGAGTTTTAAACTGATCAAATTGTAATGGATGTTGTAGATTGCATTTGTGGTTTTTTACTCAAGCCTGCAACTTTATGTCAATGATAACTTCATAGTGCATTCTAGTATAAAGTATAGGGCTCTTTAAGTGATCTGGTCGCGTACGTCACGTGTTTTTCGTACTCACATGCATTAGATCGAACTTCGAAAGATTCATAGAACTTACCCAAGAAATTAGTTTATTAGCAGAGTTGAGAAATATATGTTAACGTTATTTTAAGCAAAGGCGTTAACTTCTGTGTTCTAAAGTGCGAGACCCAAAAAAAAAACATGTTACCCATATAAAAAAGACCAAAATTAAAGCCTTGGACTTAGAAGTTATAGAAGTTAGAACAACATTGGTGCTCCTGATCTTATGGTCCCACTGGAGCCATGCATTTAGCTTTAATTACCTTGCTTCCAAGTGAGAGGGAAGAACAAAGAAAGAAGGAACGAAAAACCTCCTAACTTCATCCCTGTGACTTCACAGAACAACACTTGCCGGTTCATATGATGATAGGTGAAAACAAAAACGGAAGATAAAGAAATAATTATTTGGTGAACATCATGATGTGAGAGGGATTAATTAAGGGGTGTGATAGTGAAAAACAGATGCTATATCAGTCATTTTTAAGCACAGCAATGTCATAATATATCCTGCAAATTGTTGTTAATTTTTAAACAGTCAACTATTTAATAAAGATGCAACATTTTATATAAAATAAGTATGAAAGTAGGATTGGGGGTGTGAATTGATAATTACCTTTTTTGTTTTTCTTCCATTTTTTACTCCTAACATGTAGGACTTTTTCAATTTAGTCCTCCTTAATTAGTTTTTAGAAGGGAAAATGATGCGTTGAGACCTCACAAAAAAAGCCTATCATTAAATGATAGTTATTGGTCTAAAAATGATTAAATCTTGAATGGAAAATGGAAACTAACATCAATCCCTAAATAGTGAGTACAAAGCAAATCGAAACAAACAAAAACTCTTCCATCAATCACCACCTCTAAATGAAAGGTGTTTTTTTTAATAAAAAATATTCAAAACACTGTCTCACTCATAAAATTTCCTGGCTAAGCTATTAGCAATACCATTAAATTCTCTATACATGAAATTAACCGAAACATTCGAATTCCTATGAATCATGCTAATGGTTTTCTCAATGATGTCTTCGTGAGGATAAATAGTCCCTTGCTCCCTTGTGATTAAGTGAATAGCCTCTACACAATATAACTGGATATATCGAATATTTTTTAAATCTATTAAACCAACAAAGCTCTAGTCGTCTCATAATATATATATTCCAAGCACTTCAGCTGTGGCTGATGAAAAGCTAAGCTATTAGCAATACCATTAAATTCTCTATACATGAAATTAACCGAAACATTCGAATTCCTATGAATCATGCTAATGGTTTTCTCAATGATGTCTTCGTGAGGATAAATAGTCCCTTGCTCCCTTGTGATTAAGTGAATAGCCTCTACACAATATAACTGGATATATCGAATATTTTTTAAATCTATTAAACCAACAAAGCTCTAGTCGTCTCATAATTATATTCCAAGCACTTCAGCTGTGGCTGATGAAAATTTTCTCAGTTTGCAGCAAAAACTAGATAACCAGTTCCCTTGTATGGTCTGTTATATAGCAATAGTGGGATTTCACTAAAAAAATCATGAGATTTCAATTGTAAACTATCTATAGTCATGATTAATCTTTTTATAAGGCTTTAGAGAAAGTCTTTGTTTCCTTTTTGAAATTATTCTTTACAAATTCATTATATGTGGCAACTGTTCAACTTAACAAAAATTGCCATGTCAGTCATTTTATTTATTTGATTATGAGTTCATATATTTTCTACAATAAATAATTAATGAAAGAAAACTGATGTGTGAATAAACGAAATGAACCCATAAACTCCTCTCTTTTTTTTTTTCCATATCACACTCAGAATAATAGCATCATAGAAGATCCAATTTTGTTATCCTCTTCCACTTTATAGAGGATCCAATTTTATTCCTATGAATCATTGCTTGTTGAATGTTATTGCTGAAGGACTTGTTTATCGGACAACCAGCTGATGAAGCCTTCCAATAGTGGCAATATGCTTTTATGTGCCCCACAAGTAATTTAACATAGCTCTTGTTATTGTTTCCTTTTGGTCTGATCCTGAGGCCTCATTTCTGCCCTTTCATTCGGGGACCTTCCTCCAACTTGGACTGCTAATAAGTAAGCCCTGAGAGTTATCATAGAAAATATTTTCCCTGTGAATCAATTTTTTCTTCTTGATGAGACTCCATTCTTGTCCCATTTCCTAACAAATTGGGCTAGTGGAATTCAGAGTGAAGGAAATTAAATCAAATATCAACTCCCCTGGTGACTACTGCTCTTCTCTGGATATACTGAGATTAGTAATTCTAGGAAGATGATTGAATGCAAAATCGCTATACTTCTGCAGTGGACACTTCATAGTTAATGAACCTTTTATTATAGTTAATGATCCTTTTATTATCTATGCTTCTGTAGTATCTATGCTTCTGTGTAGAACTTTCATTCAGAATCTTATGGAATGCTTCTGTGTAGAACTTTCATTGCAGAATCTTATGGATATGCTTCTGTGTAGAACTTTCATTGCAGAATCTTATGGATATGGAAATTTCTCTTCCTTTGGTTCACATCATACATAGCTTTCATAGATAACTGAATATTTTCTTGTAGAAACCAGAACGTAGAAATATTCTTTCTATGGTATGCTCTGCATTTGTCATCATGGGATCTCTAACTTCCACAGAGACAGATTTTCATAATGATCCCTTGTAATTCCAAACAATTTTATATAGCAAGCTAAAAGTTGTGATTCCATTACATATCCAGCATGAAATCAGTGATTGAGAGATATAACACAAGCAAGGAGGAACACCAACAACTGATGAATCCAAATTCGGAAGCCAAGGTATGCTCAGCAAACTACATTTTAGAAATGCACAAAGTATATAATATTTCCATTGATCACGACCTGTAAAGTTGTTCCTGAATTTGCCAAATACGTATTTGGTAGCTATTCTTATATGTCTTCATAAAAATCAGAAATATTCTCTAAGACCTAAGTGACAAAACTCCAAAGAATTTGCAACTAGATCTTTGTTGGCCAACACTTTTTAGACATTTCCTTCACAACTTAAGCCTTTACAAGAACTATTTTTGTTCGTTCCCTGTATTGTTCTCTTAAGCTGCCTCATGATACTGCATAATTTTACTTGATCCTTTTGTTTTTCCTGCTGCCTCATGATACTGCATAATTTTACTTGATCCTTGATAGTTTTGGCAAAGGGAGGCAGAAGTATTAAGGCAACAACTACAGACTCTACAGGAAAACCATCGGTACAAGCCTTTTCCATTATTTATCCAGCAAAATATTTGAAATTTTTTTATTGAGCAATTAAAATATGCATGTGACCCTGAAGAACTCTAAATTTCATTGTCACGCATGAAAGTATTGTCATGTTGCAGTAGTATGCTGTGACATACCACTTTCAAAACGTTAAATGTGGGAAGTGATACAGATGGTTATGTCAGACATTACTATTTTTTTGGGGTGAAAATACATCACTGTGAAATATATATGCTAGGGTGCAAACTGAAAAAAAGATAAATAATACTTCATTTCAAGTCCATATAAGTCTCTCAACTAGAAATTAGAAACCTAACAGATATCGCTTCATAAGAAAAATTATTTTTAAAAAATAATAAGATGAAAAGAAAGACATTCCTTCTGCAACATAGGAAATTCCAGGTGGTTAGATTTTAGCGTAGGCAACATTTTTCAACTCAACTGCAGCTTACCACTGCATAAAATAAAGATATTGGTTTTTTCATAGTATCATTAAATATTGGTTTCTTCAGAGACACCAGTTAAAATGTCAATTGCAAGTGAGACAATTTTCAATTGAAAAATATGTCTCACTCTCCATAATGAAAGTTTTCATGCTTTTTCCTTTTTCCCTGCTTTGCTTCTTGCATGATGAATTTAGTTGTTGATAGAGCACAATGACACTTTGCGTTCTATATGACTGGCAAATAGTAGCTTTAAAATTCTTTAGTTCACACATAGAAACCGGCAATAAAATAAACAGAAAAACAATATACATGTCATAAAGCTTCGTGTATGAATAACATTTTGAAGGTGCAGGCAAATGATGGGAGAACAGCTTTATGGTTTAAGTGTGAAAAACCTACAAGATCTCGAGAACCAGCTGGAATTGAGTCTCAGAGGTATTCGCATGAAAAAGGTCAACTAACTAACTTTAACATTTTGAAATAAACAGCAATGCTCCTTTACTGTGGCACTGTTCATAAATGTGTTTGACCAATCTCTCCTAGTCCCAAGCAATGTTTAGGCAACTGAAAGCTATTAACGCAATTTAATCAAACTCTGCAGGAACAAATTCTAACAGAAGAAATCCGAGACCTGAACCGAAAGGTCTGTTTGAGCAATAATAATATTCACCGAAGTTTCTTTTTTTCCAACAGAATTTGTAATAATGAACTGACCTTTTTCTTATTTTCCTTGCAGGGAAGCATTATACATCAGCAAAACATGGAACTCTATAAGAAGGTAAACCTCCTTCGACAAGAAAACACACAACTACACAAGAAGGTAGCCAGCTTAGTTATCCACTAATAGGACATCATGAAAAGTTCCAAGAGAAATTAATAATACTACTATGTTCACTAAGGTTCTAAAATATGGCGACAGAAAGCTCACCATTCTTAACTATGACTTAACTATGACGCTTGAATGTCTCAGGTTTACGGCTCATCGGAAATGGCAGCTACAAGCAGAGATGCATTCAATCCATATGGATTTCATACAAACGAGGAACCACAAGAACTGATCCAACTTCAGCTAAGCCAACCAGAGCAAGACACGTATGAGACATCAGGCAGCGCCTCAAAATAATGTTGGTCAAAAGTTCTTCAGTTGGATATTTTGACCTAACCATTGACAATATTATAAAATTGCAGCATATAACCGCATGTGAAGTGATGAAGAATCCTTCTGCATGAATCTTACCTGAGAAATCAAGAACAAGAATTATCAGTAGAAGAACATCTGTGATTCTTGAAGCGGAAGGAGTTAGATAAAAGCTTATCAGCAAGTGAATTGCATTATTCAAATCAGATATGCATGTAAAGTGAATTATGGAGAATTTTAAATAACAAAACATGGACGTAAAATTTTTCTGAATTGTGTCTATCTATAGCTTTGTAGAAATGTAACCTGTCAATTGCACATGACAAGTTCATAAGCTTGAGTCATTATTGCAGTTTACCTATGATTTCCAGATGCTCAGGAAAACTTCCCATAAATTGCCTCAGAAAATTAAACAGATTCTGGATGCATTCAGGTTCATTAACAACATAATTAAATGCGTTTAAGGTCAAAGGATCAGCCACCTGTAAACAAAATGTCTGTTAAAAAGGGGGGAAAAATAAATTGCTACTTCCGATGCTCAATATAATACTACTTCCAGTTTTTAATATAAAAACTAGTATTCTAAACATAACAAAACCAAGCACAAGCTTGATAAACTATATTTTACCTCTATGCCCAAACAACTGACTCAACTGGATGCACATGTTAATAATACATTTCTAAATGCATAGATTGGACCAAACCCTTGTGGAACTTGCGCTATTGCCTGACTTTGCATCAAAGCAGATTTATTTGAGACATCTTTTTTAATTAAAAAGAAAAAAATCAAGTCACAAGTCTTCCAGTAATGGATTTTAATTATTGCAGGATAATTAATAATTAGAATGCATCAACATTTGAATTTGACGAAACCACGTGAAATTGAGGCAACCGAGTTGCGAAATGAGAACAAAAGTGGAGACAAGGACATGAAAAGGTGAAGAAGATCACGTCGATGACCATGCTTACCTTATAACAGTGATATTGATTCTTGAGATGAGTGGAAGATGTGATTAGATGAGGGTGAGACTGACAACCAAAATATGGGGCCGGCCAAAGTATCAAGTAAATGTTTTAAAAATTGGATCCAACATTAAAATGAAAATGAAATCGATTCATGGTTCTTATGTCTGACTGATTGCATTCGCAATCCAACTGGTAAAGTAATAATTAAATAAAAATTTAATTAAAAAAATGAGTATGCGTATATGATAGTAATATGTATAAAAATAAATGTATAATAAGTCTAATTATCAACATAATAACGCCGTAATATATGAATTATTTTACATTTAAAATATGCTTGATTTTTCATTTTGATATTAAAATGCATAAAATATAAAAGTACCTAAAGGCTTTCTTCGGTAGAAAAACGTAGCGGACTTAAAATGGATACAAAATGTACATGTAAATAATTAATCTTAGTGTAAAACATCTTTGTCTATATTAAATCACATGCTTATTTCATTATTATGATAATTATCAATAAGACGTTTATTATTGTGTAATGAATCAAACATATAAGCTCAACCATGTTGAAGTTATGGTGAAATTGACAACTGAAGAATAAGAATGATAATGGTGATGACAGGTGGTTCAGGTTGGTCCATCAGCCTCTAGTGGTTTATCATATGATTATGACCCATCTTATTCTCGTTGGACAATAAAACAGAAATTACAACAATAATAATGATCATTATCATTATAAATGATAAAATTTATAGGTAAACCTATATAAAATAAACTCCTTTTAGGCTCTGTATTATTTTTTTATTCCTTTAACAATCTCCGCATATTCAAGTATTATAAATTAAGATGAGTGTAATCCTTTATAAATTTATGACAAGTCATGATATTCATAAATTATTATTAGTGCCACGTCTTAGATGCTCTATAATTATTATAAAAAACATATATCTATGTGCATTTATGATTCATAAGAAAAAAAGTTCAAATCAATGTTATATGAGGTAAGGATCGACTAGTTTGAGTCCCAAATTTATTCAGCACAGAATGAGTCCTTGCTAGACTAACTACATCAAGATTTTGAGTGATGTAGGGTTAATTTTATTTTCCTTAAATTCTTTACCGTTTCATATTATAATAAAGGGAACATAGAATCTAGTAATTATATCTTTTTAAAAGAAATAAGGAAAATTTCTTACCAATTTTAACTAATATTAACAGGTTTTTTACATCACAAAATTCGATTATTTGGAACTTTTTTTTTTTAAAAAAGGAGAGAGTAATGTTTAACAGAAATTAAATTTAAAAAGGTAGTTGAGAAGGGGAACAGGGAATCCTAACTTAGGTGTGTGAATGGAGGTAAGGTGGTGCACTTGGTCAACATTACATCAAGAAACTGAATTAGTTGGAAGCATATGTTCATTATCTAAATACCCCACAATGTGCTGACAAATTTCCTTCATTCATGCCCTCCTTTGACCATTTAAAGCTACTAATGCCTAAGATATAGACCTGCTTAGTTTAGTCACATGAACTTCAAACACCATTGTCTCCACATACACTATATTTTATGCATCCAACCTTTCAATTACCATCCTCTTCCAATATTAGGACTATTTAATTGAACTTAAATCTAATTAAAGATAATTATACTAAAAATAATGTTTTTGACATTCATGTGCACTTGAGTTCAAAATATTATACTTAAGTAGCCATAATCTTTTCTCTTAGTGTGGGGTTACAGCAAAATATGAATCTAAGCAATAGAATTTGTCAATTTTATTTTGATGCAAAGTTAATTTTTTTTAATTTGTAAGCAAAAAGTTAAACTAAGCCATACAGTCCAAAATCAAATACTACAATAACAAATTTTTTTTAAATAACTTGCATACTCATTATACATTCGCAACCTCATGTTTTAAAAGAAGTACTTCTCTCTGGTTTTATTTATAAGTCACTTCTAACAAGTTTTATACAAACCAAGAAAAACCTTAAAGTTCATTAACTCTTATTTAAAATTTAACAACTTTTCAACTTTATTCCTATTTAATATACATTATATCTCATGTAAATAAGGTCAATAGAATAATTAATGAATGATAAAATTGTACATTTATGCAAAAAAATTTTCTTAGTATCCTATAAATAAAACCAAAAATATCTTCTCTCTCTGTCCTATAAATAAAATTAGACGAGTATTTTGTATCAGTTGGGAGTATAAGGCCTTAATATATAATGAGAGTTAATCACCGTCCTTTTACTTGGGGAAAACTCTACGACGACCACCACTAATTATTTTTCTTTCTTTAAAAAAGATTTGCGTGTAATTTGTGCTTAGTGTTTGATCTGGACTGGAGCAAGTTTCCTTGTGAGTGGTGAATACTGAATTGACCGTTTTTAGCTTTGTTTATAGTTATTATATTTCTCGGATGGCGAATGTTTTTGGATGACGAGATTTTCACCGTCGCTCGGGACTTGTTATGTTTGTTCCGTATTTACCGTTACCCCGTTCGATTTTCCTCATTCTCACGATATCTCTTATGGAAAATATCGAAAAGAGAAAATGCCATCGTCAAATTCAAGAGTTATTTCAAGATTTTAATATATGTATGGAATTAAGAAATTGTTATACACACGTTTTTTGTTTTTTTTATAAAAAGCTTCCTATTAAAAGTGTCCCCATCTCCAGAGAATTTTTATTGTATTTTATTTATTCTTTTCACATCCCTTTTTGCTCGACTAAAAGGAGTGAGGCCTTAGAAAGTGCGCCTTTCCTGCTTGCATCCCCATCTGCTTGCTTGCTTTCAGTGAAAGACTTGTTGCTTTATCCGCACAAATGAGAGATATTATTTGCACGAAATAATAAAATTTAAATGATTATTTGAACAAAACAATAAACTAATTAACAATATTTACAGGAAAATTATTATCTTTTTTATTTTATATAATTAAACACACACAAACATGTTAACCCCAGATTCGAGAACTCAATATAACTGATAGCACTTCTAGTATGGCAACTTGTTGACAGCAAAATTTATTTTTGAAATTTAAATAACAAGAAGATTATATGCTCATAACTCAAAATTTAAGAAAATTGCGGGTAATTTAGTCAAAAAAGCAATGATAATAGTGATAAGAAAAATAATAATAAAAAGCATATATATGTCAAGTACTCAACCACTATAGCACGTTGGTTGTATCAGAAACATGTTAAGGATACCCCACAAGCAGAGAGGCCACATCTCTGGAAAATGAGAGCTGAGAAAACTAAATATACTTAGCATGTTTCATCAATTTGGGAAATCATTTCACTAATCTCACAATATCCACACTTTGATTTGATTCACTTGGGTAGAAAAGAAAAACCAGAGCGTCATCATTCAACACGCATCACCAATATTATTCACCAGGGAATTGCTGAGACTGAGACCTTCCTTCTTCTTCACACTGTGTGTGTGTTCTGTGAGAGAGAGAGAGAGAGAGGATTTGATTCATTTCTACCGCCATTCTTCGTCGTTAATGGCGATTAATTATAATAATAATGATAATAATCCTTAATCTCCAATCCCTTTCATCGGAGCATCTTCTTTCTCTCCTTTCTGGGAAAGTGGAAATCGGAATTTCAAACTCGGGATAATGTAGACCTGACCTGCACTTGCTGTTTTCAGCAGCCACTCACAGTAGGACTAACAGCGCTATGTGATGTGACTTGGATGAACAACCTATTCATGCTTTTTCGCAGATTCCAATCGATCCAGTACTGGACCAGCACTGCACAGAGCAAAGAACAGAGGCAACAAAATCAAACAGAGTTCCGATAATTAATCACAGATCAACAACTTAAGAGAAACTTAAATTAATTGATCAATTGATGGTAATCTATGTTGAATTTCGGAGATTTTTAATGGAACCGACCTGAGATCCTGGAAGAACAGGGGAAGGCGTCGCTGTTCGTGAAGGTGACAACCGTCGTCGAAATTCTGGGAGTAACTAACAGGATCGTACTGAAACGATAAAGGTTTTCCTTTTTCCGAAGAGTTAAGATTGTGACTGATTTTTCGGGGCAAGTGGCAACGATTTACATAAGGACTTACGATGTTGCTACCATTTATAGTGGCTTCGTGCACTGTAAATTTATTTCACTACTCTCCGAGATCCATGTTCCTTTGAGTAACGTTGCTACTGGCTTTTAAATATGTGACTTTTTTATTAATTAATTTTGTTATTACATTCAAATGACAGAGATTATTTAAATACTTAAGATATACTTAAGGTTAAGGACATATTACATCAGAACTTTCTCTTTACATGTATACAGATATAGATATCCTTCGGTTGTGCATCAGATGCTATGCGGTTTAAAAGTGATACTGTCTGCGACTGTGTATGGGATATCAAGGAAGATGCACTTCAGTGACAAGTCTGATCACATTCACACACTGGCTCCATGTTTGATTAAAGATGATATATCCGGTTTTTTTTTTTTTTTTTGCGCTAAAAAACTAACATTCGTCCTTCAAAGACAGCGCATTATTGCTTCTCTTTTAATATTTACGGGGTGACATTGGAAAAAAGGTAGTACAGTGTACAAGGCATTCCACGCTCATATAGGATTCGGGGACCGCAAGATCTCGTAACATTTGATATAGGTAGTTTTATCTCGAAAATTATTTTCAAGTGGCTAATTCAACAACCGGAACTAGTGACCTTTTGGTCACATAGAGGCAACTTAACTAGTTGCTCCATGGCTCCCCTTTTCATGACTTTAAGAGTGACATTAAAATTTAAAAAACAATAGAGAGAATTATAACGAGATTTTTAAAAAAAAAGATAACTACCAAAAAGTGAAAATAACAATTGAGAAGTTGTCACTTCTTCTATTCAAGTTTGTCATTACAGGTTGCTCCGTTACCATTGAGATTTTTAGCAATTATGTTTCTTTTTTAAGACTTTATGATCATTCTTCGCAAAAATTTTTTTTTTTTGGATATTCACAGCTAGGTATTTAATCTCATTAGGTTGCAAATATCGACTAGGTCCTGATTAACTCGTTCTGACATCGGACCAATCGGTATGTTACTGTAATTAGGTCTTAACACTCACTTAACCATTATTAAATCATCAAATTCTTCATTTAGTATTTAGTACAAGTATTTGATATTTGATCGTTTATGCGTATTTGAGGATTTATGGAAGCCAAGTCATTGCTCTCTAGCCTGGACCACGTCCAGAAACAGCTAGGAACTTTAGAAAAGTACACATGTAAATGAACCATCAGAAGGGGAATCGCCGTATAGTAGTGCACGGTGTACCCAAACTTGTGCTTGCATGTCGAATAATTTTAACTATATGTCACTCTTTTAAATGTAGATAAGTTCTCAGAACTATGGTGATAGAGTAAAGGTTTATTTGAAATGACTTATAAATAGCTTATAGGCAATTTTTTAATCGTAACTTACAAATATAAAGTAAATATATGGGAGAAGTTTTGCCTCAATTTATGTGAACGTCTCTATTAATCATGAATTGAAATAAGTCCTAAGTATAAATTAATTCTAGGTTTTATCCAAGTATTGGTTGTGACATCCATAACCATCAATAAGAATTACAAAAACACATGTATGTACTCATCAAAGTAAACATTCTCATAACCAAGTGGCCTAATCTAAGGTTTCAGCTTGCTCATAAAATTCAAATAAATTTTCAAGTGGATTAATTTGAATTAAAACGTAGTCAATTGATTATCACTACTGCTCATTCGAACACTAAATATAGAAGTTCATAAATATTAAAAAAATTAGTTATATTATTTATTTATAACAAAACAAAAAAAATTGATTATCACTACTGCTCATTCGAACACTAAATATAGAAGTTCATAAATATTAAAAAAATTAGTTATATTATTTATTTATAAGAAATATGTGTTTGTTTCCTAAAATCATAGTCTTACATTAGAACAAAACAAATTTTTTAACTAATTCATGCATTTAGAACCGAGAGACCGTTAATATAAATACTATCTCCAGTCCTAATTATAAGAGTTAGTTGACTAATATGAGGAGATTAAGAAAATAAGCTAAGTTAGTTATTTGTAATAAATAGATGTTATCTTTTATAAAATATTCTTGCTAATCAAGTGAATTGGCTACAACTACTATATATTATTAGAAGGACTACCTTATAAAAAAATACATAAATATGAGAGACAAAATGGATTAGGGTCTTATACTTAGGACCCAAATAAAATTCAAACAAGATCTTATATTAAGGATCGGAAGTAGTACATAGTAGTGATCAGACATAACCATATATATAATATGTGGGGTTATAGTCATTTTGATAGACAGAGAATCTTAACATATATTTATAGTTTAGAAATCTAACATTCTTATATTTAGAATCAAAACAAACTCATACACTAACTGTAACTCTTACATTTAGGGTTAGAAGGGTAATAATCTATACATATATATAGTGGTGGCCAGGCGTAGCTATATATGTGGGGACTTGATATAACCCGTCGTGTTTCCCCAACATTTACAAATTAAGGCAAAGAAGATGCATTGTCTTTGCTAAAAACAAACTAGAGCGCACAGTTTTCAGTGCGACCTCTTCAATTTGATTCTCTTCCACTCGTCATTTCTCAATCAAACGGCTTGTTCTTGTACACACACACACATATTTCTCCTGCATAAATCGAAGCTTAGTAATAATGCAGCTACAATAACAACCAAACAAAGTACACTAGTGAAAAATGCCGAATATGTTAAAGCTAAAAATTTTCCTGTAATAATTCATGCTTTTCACATAATTGAAGTGGCCAGTAAAGTGGAAGTACTCCAAATGTTATTATTTTCTAATGTAATAAAAGATCGATGTGGGGATGAGGTGAATCAATTGAGGGAGAGAGGGGTTTATTTAATTTGGTACGATTATATATTATTGCCTAGGATGTTTCAAATAAACAAGTTATTATTTTCTTGGAATTACATGTAGTTTGTCATGAACAAGGTAGACAAACGTATGACAATGGCGGGGCCAATAATCTAATAATGCACATGTACACAGAATGATGGTGCTGCTGGGCCACATGCATGCATCTTTGTGAAAAAAACCAACTTTGCTAAAAATCCACTGTTTCTCCCTAATTAAGATACTGTTGCTTCACAAATCTACCGTACATTTTATTTTGATATACGTGTCTGTGAGCAGTTTTATAATATAATAACATGAAAGCTCTTTTGCTAAGAAAAGGGATTTGATCCTACTTGTAATTTCTACTAGCTGTTACATTTGGAACGAGATAGAAGAGATACACAAACAATAAGTCTTGAATAATCATGTGATTCCATGATTTATTAGGATATACTATTTCTGATTCTCAATATAAGAGCTAAATAATTAATTTGAAGATATTAAAAAAATTAGTTAAATTGGTTATTTGTCACAAATATATGTTGGTCTCTCTAAACCTCTTCAATCATGTGTATTAGATATGATTGAAATTATCTATTGGTGAGAATTACAATTAATAGGGATATTTTAAGAAAAGATATAAGGTAAAGTGAATTGAGATATTATATTAGGACTAAATTTAACTCATAACTAGTTCTTATACTCCTCCGGTCTTTTATATAAGACCTAATTGTTGAGTTGGTTTTTGTCCTAAATATAAGACCCATTTCTCATATTTATCAATTTTCTCTACATTACCCCTATGAATACTTCCCAATCATAATCAAGTAGAAGAGAGAGAGGGGGTATTAAAAAAGATGATTATGGTGTTTTAGAAAAAACATGTCACATTTCTTATAATTAACTAACTTATCTAACTTTTTTAATCTAATCAAATTAGTTAAATGGGTCTTATATTAAGGACCGGAGGAGTATTAAGGATCAGGTAGTATATGGTAAGTTTCGAGTCAGGATATGGTGACTCTTAAATTATATATTTACACAGTTTAGGATATTTTGTGCTGCTTACTGCTGCTGATTTACGAATAGTGCGACTTTCAACCTATGCTTTTTATTATATTAATACGTTCTCTTTTGCATAGTGATGCATATTCACTGTATTTGTTTTAATGCATAACATTAACGAACTCATTAAGCGTAGGTATGAAGCTTTATGTTTTTAAAAAAGGTAGGAAGCTTTATATGTGCCAGAAGGAGTAACAGGATGAATTTATATGTCATCCAATTATAAGATGAAATATTCGTTAATTCGATTATAATTCAAATTTTAATTGACGCAATTTAAACATATATTGCACCCTTATTCTCAAAGGATATGCATATTTGAGGTACAAATGTGTGCGCTTTAGTTCTTTCCTCCACTTTCCTCGCTCTGGCTTGGTTTAGGATTAGTGTCTGCGATGGTGGAGTTGTTGGGTTTAGGTTTGTATTGTTTGGGTTTCAGCCCTTTTGCTTTGTTGATTTTCTTCTGGACCTTTTTGTTGTTAATCTTTAGTTTGTTTTAATAGAATATAATTTTTAACACTAAAAACCAATGGGGTTAGACTTAGTTAAAAGAGCTAATTCCTCACAACGTGACGAATTAAGGTTCAAATTCCTAATGGAGAGGTGCTTACATTTAGTACTCGACAATATTTTAAATATGATTATCTTTAATAGGAGAATACCTTTCTTCAAAAGGTCTAGAGTATGAAGAGATTAGTTATTGTTACCAATAGTGGATACCCTAAGTCAACCAAAAAAAAAAGAACATGTGTTTTCTTTCACCATAGGCAATTGTATTTGAGACATAATTAAATATTAAATGTAAATATATCTCTTAGCTGATATTTAATATTTTTGGTGCAACACTAAATTTATTTTTAAATCATTTGAGTTTCAAGTTTTCATCATGAGTATTGATTCGTCAGGGATAAATGGCGGGTCTACCTGGATCCCTCCATTTTTTTTTTTTTGTGATACAATGGATCCTTCGAATTCAATAAGAGTTTTTGTGATACATGTTCTGTTATGGGCCTTGATTATTTTAATGGATCCCAATCCCTCTTTCAGAAGGCCCAACAAGTAATTATAATTTAATTATACTCGTGATATTTTTATACAATTATCTGAAATTTAATACTACCTCCTCTTTCTAATATAACAGCCAATTAATTAACTTGAGTAGATTAAAAAAATTATTTAATTTATTTATTTGTAATAAATAGGTGTTGTTTTTCATAAACTATCCTCACTACTATTATTACAAGAACTACATTGAGAAAAAATAGTTAAATATGAGAGACAAAGTAAATTGAGATTTTATATTTAGGATCAAAATAAAAATTAAATAAGTTTTTATATTAAAGACTAGAGGTAGTATTACTTAATTAAATTTGAATATTGTTAGGCTGGACCAAAAGTAACTCAAGTAATGTAAATTTTTTTCCCCATTCAAAAAGCTTTTTATTTTATGGAATAAAAATCGATTTTCTCCAGTTCTCATTCAACTCAATTATTAATAAAAGCCAGATATCTTTTATATATTGATATTATTGATTTGAATTAAAAAAATGAAGGAAAAATGATTAAAAAGGGATTGGTGCCAAGTGGCGCTTCTTGAAGCAAATTAGAGAGACTAACCCTATCATGAGACCCGACGAGACTGTGTGGCCAAGGAATGGTTCAATGTGGATAGGCCTTTCCTGGTCCCTTTTATTTCTCACAAACATTTTTGTTTATTTCCACATAAATTTCTATTTTGTGTCTCCACTTTGTCCCTTTCCTTCATCCAAACATTTTCACAACACGGTCATGAAATTTGAAGCTAAATCCTTTTTTTTATTTTAATAAAAATAGTCATCATCATCAATCAATCATCAATATTAATGTATGCAGTAAAGTAGGCGTTTGGACCCACAGCAGATTTTTTTATTTTTAAATTTTATTATATAGAGTGATAATAAATTCTAAAATAAAATAAATTGTTTTATATTTTTAATTTGTATGGATAGATAATCATTTACGGCGAGATATTACATCATGAAATAAATATTAATTTTTAATATCATAATGTGATATAATAAAGAATAATGCGAGGCTTCACCGCTTCAGTGAAAAAAAATGGGAATTGTACCCTACTATACAAAAGCAATGAAAGGTGAATATGAGACACACACAATTAAAAAGAAATATGGCAGTGAAATAAGAATTTAATTGAGGATAATACATCAGAAAAATAACTACTAATATAAATATTTTATATTTAGGACCAGAGGAATATTAATTTTTAACTGGGAGAAAAATCTAATTTTTGAGAAGTATGTGACAAAAATACTAACTCGTAAAAAACAGTAACTTCTTGCGAATTATATTAATATAAAATAATAAAATTTGATCATAAAGCTAAATTCTGCTGGTAAAAAAATGATAAAGCTAAATCGTGTAGCCAATTACAATCTTGAAATTTGAAATAATAATGATAATAATAACAACAGCAGCAGCATTGAAACATTACAAAAAATACTGATTTTCTCATTTGAAAAAATAACTCAGTTCACATTTTTCTAAACACTAAAATATTTATTTACAGTCTTCTTTACTACTCACATTTTGGCATTAAAAAGTTTAATTTTCTCACCAATTTAAATTAGCGCAAATGGTATAAGATCTTGTTTTTAATTAAGTAATTGAAAGTATGACTTTTAGTCTTTATTTATAAATAAAATGAATCTAATTATTAGAAATTTTTTTTTCTATATCTTAAAAGAGATTATATTCATGATTTTACCAAAAGTGAATTTATTTAATTTTTATACATAATATTATGTTTATAGACATCCTGTTTTACCTCAGTTGACGGAAATAATGCAAATATTTTATTAAAAAGAATATATTTTAATATATTTTCTTCCTTTTGTTTTTTAAATAATCTATAATAAATACATCCAATTATTTTACCCGATTATTATTATATTATAAACGAGTCTTTCAAAAACAAATGAAATCCTCATATTAAAATGTTAAGATAAAATCATAATATCACATCATAAAGGCTTGAACTTTAGATATTTGCCCAGATATTACCTCACCCGACAATTGAGCGATAGTTAAGAAAAAATATTTTATGGTGTACATTAAAAGCATGAAATAAAATCATAAAAAGAAAAATCCAACACAATTTTAGTAAATTTCAGTGGCGCCAACCGCAAACGAATGCGGCATAGGGAAGTGTGGGATAAGCAGAGGATTATCAACCACCAAACTAGGAGAACGACAAGACCTCCAAACTAAAATTCAATTTTCTTCCATTTCACAAATCCCTCACTTTCTCTCTGCATCTGAGGAAGAAAGCCACAAGGATGGCAATGGCAATGGCTCTTCGCAGGCTCTCATCTTCTGTCGACAAGCCTTTGCGCCCTCTATTCAGTGCCGGCTCTGTTTACTACAAGGTTCTCATATGTCTTTCGTATTTGCTTCCCAGAGAATTTTCATTCAAATCCTTCCTTGTTTCCTCGTTTCTTGTATTTTATCTCAGATTCGGTTTCATTTTTGCAGTCGTCTTTGCCCGATGAAGCTGTGTATGACAAGGAGAGATCCGGTGTTTCAGTAAGTTTAACTCAAGATTAGAGGCTTGGATTTTAATCATAGGAGGGAGTGCAGTTCTTTGTCTATGTTAATTGGTTCTGATGTTTGACTTCGAGCATTTCCTTTGCAGTGGCCGAAGCAATTGAATGCTCCACTTGAGGTTGTTGACCCTGAGATTGCAGATATAATTGAGCTCGAGAAAGCTAGACAATGGAAGGTATTCTTGGCAGTATCAGTTTACATCTTTTGAGCCTGTATTTTTATGGCCAATTTCGGCAGCTTACACTTCAAATTCAGTTCTCAATTTGTTTGAGTTTTGAAAGAGAACCCGACTGTAGTATTTTACATAGTAAGGAACACACAATTAAAATTCATCTTCCAGATTAAGAGTCCGTAGTCACTTTGTACTTTTCAGAACTGGCATTTAAATTTTCCGTTAGTTCATATGATTGACTTATTGTCTTCTGGTGAAGGGGTTGGAACTGATACCTTCAGAGAATTTTACTTCTGTCTCTGTAATGCAAGCTGTTGGCTCCATCATGACTAACAAATATAGTGAAGGATACCCTGGTGCCAGATATTATGGTGGAAATGAGTACGTCATTCTTTTACTTTCTACATGATTTTCTGTTGATGATTCATGCATAAGATACTGTGGTCAGTATCATAGATTTATTGTTAAGTAACAGTTCGGATCGATTTCAATGCTCTGGATATTCCATTTTGAAGGTACATTGACATGGCAGAAACACTATGCCAGAAGCGTGCCCTGGAGGCATTTCGGCTGGACCCAGCTAAATGGGGAGGCAAGTTCACAAGACAAAACATATCAGTCAAAGAAAAAGTCAACAATTTTCCTCTATATGGATTGTAGTAACTGTTTTTATTCTTTGTCGATAGTAGTGTATTTGGTATAAGTAAGAATTTTTGCATCTCTACTCTTTTATCATCATCATTACTGTTTCTCCAATAAAATCGGAACTAGCAATGCACAATTATGGATAAACATTTAAACTAAGAATCTCAGCTTTGTAGTTTCCGATGGACTTTGCGTGTCAAAATTTAAATCGGATTTTCCATGAGCTCTTTTGAAGTTTTTCGGGGGTAAGTTCACTCATATGTCAATATGATCTCTAAATTGCAGTGAACGTGCAGCCCCTATCTGGGTCTCCTGCAAATTTCCATGTTTACACAGCATTGCTAAAACCTCACGAGAGAATCATGGCACTAGACCTTCCTCATGGGGGGCATCTTTCTCATGGATACCAGGTATTTTCAACTTCAATCCTGCTGCTGTTGTATATGATTCTCTGTTCATTACACTATCATCCGGTTATTTATCTAAATAAATCATTAACATTTTTGGCGCTGCCACCATTTCCGCTACGCAGACTGACACCAAAAAGATATCGGCAGTCTCAATATTTTTCGAGACAATGCCATACAGATTGAACGAAAGCACCGGATACATCGACTATGATCAGGTATATTGTTGTTATTTTATTATGATCACACTCATGTTTGATCGTAATCTGTATGTACTTCGAGATTCAAGTTTCATCACTAATTGAAATGGCAGACAATTTCATAACACACGCACGTATTACTGATTACTGTCATTGTATCTCTATTTTTTAAAATGCAGTCTGAAAGCTTACTCATCTAATGATCCATTCTGTTATTTTCACAAAACAAGTTTGCTGAGTAACTAAGAATTCTTCTGATTCGATTTGCCACGAGTGAGTCAGATATAGCCATCATTTGTGTGTCAGAAAAAGGTGCTTAATGACGTGGAATGTTTTGACATGCAGATGGAGAAATCAGCCGCTCTCTTCAGGCCAAAATTAATAGTTGCTGGTGCGAGTGCTTATGCACGTTTATATGATTATGATCGTGTACGCAAGGTAATAATATAAAATATATAATGACCCTAGGTTTCACAGTTTGCTTCAAATTACTACGTGGGAGGCCAGGGTTAACTTTTTGAGAATGTGACAGGTGTGTGATAAACAGAAAGCAATCATGTTGGCAGATATGGCACACATCAGTGGGTTGGTTGCTGCCGGTGTTATCCCTTCACCTTTTGATTATGCGGATGTTGTAACTACCACAACTCACAAGTCACTTCGTGGTCCACGTGGAGCTATGATTTTCTACAGGAAGGGGGTGAAAGGAACCGACAAACAAGGAAAAGAGGTAAATTCCTGAATATTTTCATTTGAGAGATTTGTGTACTTTTTAACTTGTAATGTTTAGTAAGTCTTTTTTTTCATTATCAGGCCAGTTAGTACTTTCAATAACCTATCCTAACACTAACTCATTCTTTTGAAGGTGTTGTATGACTATGAGGACAAAATTAATCAGGCTGTCTTCCCTGGTTTACAAGGTGGTCCTCACAACCACACTATTACTGGGTTGGCTGTTGCATTGAAACAGGTACACAATGGTAGAAGATAATCACGAGCTTCATTTTTCTCTTACAATTGTGATGATCCCTGCAGAATTGCAACTTATTGAAAAAAATACAATGTACTGATTTAATCTTTTTTCACTTTCGCACAGAATATCTTACTATTCAAATGGTTCGTTAATGAGGTTTATTTGAAGGGTGACATAATTTGAGTGATGCCAGCTTTAATGTTTGAACATTAAAGATTAGGTTATTTTAACTGATTGTGACAAGACTCCAGAAATGCCAAATAGATGCTTTGGAGAAGTTTCATGTTTAACGGCCAGAGGTCTGTAATTCCAAAAGACCATATTTCAGTACTTATTGTTTTAATCTCGTGTGGATGCAGGCTACTACTCCGGAGTACAGAGCATATCAAGAGCAAGTTCTCAGCAATTGCGCAAAATTTGCACAGGTAACAGAGAACGTTATAATGGGGGGCATCCTCCTCACATACACACAATCTATTCAATAATGGTTCATTATTTCCTGGTTGGACGAGGGTGATGCTTGTAATTTAACGCTGAAATCTTAGTAATTTTGCAGACTCTCGCTGAAAGGGGCTATGATCTAGTTTCTGGTGGAACTGAGAATCACCTGGTTCTGGTGAATCTCAAGAACAAGGTAACAACAATTGCTTTTAACTTCCATTTATGAATTATTTCTAGGTTCTAGACTTTTGTTCATAAATCTGACTTGTTACTTTATTGTCATCTGGATGTAATTCAAGGATTTTTTGAATAAAGGTAGAGCATGTGAGATCCATAAGAGGAAGCTATAATTTGTCATTCTGAGAGCTAGTTTTAACACAAGATCACTGTTTTTAATCCTTTGTGCAGGGAATTGATGGCTCCAGAGTCGAGAAGGTGTTGGAATCAGTTCACATTGCAGCTAACAAAAACACAGTTCCTGGAGATGTGTCTGCTATGGTTCCTGGTGGCATCAGGATGGGTACAGGGTCTTCATTGCTTATTTATTGCTTTTATTATCTTCAGTTAATTACTCAGATAGCTGTTGTGGATTTCAGGAACCCCTGCTCTTACTTCTAGGGGATTTGTTGAGGAGGATTTTGCTAAGGTAGCAGAGTTTTTCGATGCAGCGGTAAATTTGGCTGTGAAGATTAAGGCAGAAACCAAAGGTATATACGTTATATATGCTTTCTGAATTTGAGCCTGTTTTATCTTGGACTGCCTATGAAACTTTTGCTGTAGTCTTGTTGGGTGCTTGAAAGACCTAACATGGGGTTGCTGTTGAATTCTTGAATCAGGTACAAAATTGAAGGACTTTGTGACCACTTTGCAGTCCCCTAACATCCAATCAGAGGTTGCAAAACTCCGCCATGATGTTGAGGAGTATGCCAAACAATTTCCAACAATTGGTTTTGATAAAGCAACCATGAAGTACAAGAACTGAGAAGAACTAAAATAAATTCCCTTCAGGTGTGATTTTTTCTGAAGATTAGTGTAAAGAAAGATTCCTTCGAAAAAATATATATATAATGTTTGGATATGCAATGTGAATCATAATGACTGCTTTTATACTTCTGATTCTTAGTTACATAACCAACAGTCCTAGTTTTTACTCTTGTTAATGTCAATTACAAGATCCTTATGTCATCAAATTTTGGTGCACAGTTGCATGATATCATCTAATTTAAACAATTCAAGAAAATACGAATTTCTTTTTAATTTTAACTCATGTATTCTGTACTGCGGTGGACCTTGCAGTGCATTGAATTTGGCAAAATTTCATCATCCACAGTCTGATGTTCACTCGTGTATTTTGTTTGCTATTTGGCAGGTTACACTGATGTGCTAATGTCAAACATTTTCAAGGGAATAAAGTTTTATTCACTGGCAAAAGAGGAGGATGAGATTTTCATGAATATTAGTTCTGAGCCTCAATTAATATGTACGGATCTAGTAAAACTTGTTGACCTTGAATGTCTTAATGAAATGTATAGCTACATATGCCTTGGAGCCTTCAAATACCAAGTTTCTGGAACATGCTTAACTATTTAAATGCTGATAGCTACTAATAAACCAAATTTGCCACCGCATGGTACTCCGCCCAAGTGCTGATAACCGCCCCAGATAAAGTTTTATGGTTTTTGCTCACATTTTTCACAGTATCTAGCATACGTTAGGGATAAATTGTGACAACAACAAATTTTATCTTACTAGATATGGTCGGTTATATGCATAAATTAAAGAGTTCTCATTCAATATTTACCATAGTAAGCAGTATTGTGTGCTTGTCACTATAACGAAATTTAAACTTTACTTTTTATTAAAGATAAGTTTATTTTTTAAGAGTCATTTATGACATTATCATTATTTTGAAATTATGCATCTATTAAAACAGACAATTATTTAAAATAAAAAAATTAAATTAAATCTGAACCATCCTTAATTAATTTAGATAGTACAGATTGTGATTACCATTCTATGCTCTCTTTTTTTTTTTTTTAATGAGCACAGAATGTGCTCCCTGAATTAAACCTAGAACCTAGGAAAAAAATTCCACTCTATCCACAGTATGGACAGTTTCCCTTAATATACCCTTTTCTAATTGCCAACCAATTTCCACTCGTAACTTCTACATTACTTCCTTTTTAATGATAGTTAAAGAATAAAGATACCGTATCAATATGTAATATAAAATCTATGGCTCATTGGTGCGATGCATATTAATTTAACAATAATTAATAAGTTCGGACATTAAAATTTCTTTTAACAATTATTAAAATAAAGTATTATGGATACTTAAAATTATTATACCTGCCAGCTCTTTAATTTGTTAAAATCTAAGTTTATGAATATTTTAAATTTGTTAGTACTTTTCGATACAAAATTTATTATATAGAATTTAAAAAAACAAGTTGTAACTTGATATATACATATATATATATATATATATATATATATTACATACATACTTGTATATAAAATATAATGAAGGTCCATGGAATTTCGAAATTTGAAACTCAAATCTACAATTGTTAGATAATAATGTAGTACAATTTAAATCATTTTTAGGCCTGCAGGTGCAGAAACATTCATTCTCTATATGTTGAATGAGGAATTATAATAATGACCGAGAAGAATAATTAACATAATAATATTTCCCATCTTGAGCATAAACCAAATGGAATAAGGAATAAAATAAAACAAACAAGAGAAATGCCAGCTAACAGAACTCTTCATAAACATCACAACGAAACCAAAATATATCATTTGCCTTCTAATTTGAATGAAAAGCTGAAATCAATATGATTACCTCAATAGAGCAATACAAGAACCAGTCAAAAAAATTCTAGCTTTCTTTATCAACTTCTACCTCTTGGCAAAGAAGTAGAGGTTGATTAAGAATATAAAAATTTTCACCTATACTATGAGAAAACTTAGCTAATTAATAATCAGATGTGGTCATGCCTTCTCGATACATATAATTAGTCACAACTAGCCAATCTCTATGAATGATTATCCCAGCATCCTCCACGTAAATAATCAGCTGGAGTATTTTATTTTAATCTAAATTAGGACTTTTAAGTTAACCATGAACGTATATAAATACATCAAAACGACAAGATATAGATTTATATATACAAACATCTATTTAACTGGCAATCTTCCTGGCATGTATATGTCAGTGACCCTCTATGCTATGAAAGATAAAAACGTAAAAGGATGAGAGACAAACTTCTCCTTCTCCTCCGAAGTTGATGAAGTTCAAGGGAATACCATAGATTTATAACATAAGCCTAAGGCCCATCCGAAGATTTTTCTTGCAGAGCATTGATAGAAAAAAGTAAAAGGATGAGAGATCGATCTCTGCTAAGTGCCCTTCTTATAATGAGCTTGCTCATGGCTACGCGCTTCCCTCCCTATTGTTCCATCCAACCACTTACTCCTCACTCTCTTCTTTACTCCAAAGCCCCCAAACACTTCCCCGAATCTCATACTTGTCCTCTTTCGTCTTCTTCCTTCTCTTTCTACCCTGATGACACCATTCACAAGACCAATGCACCTCTATCCTTCTCTCGCTCCGTCACTGGCTCTTCAGTTTCTGCACCATCAATGGCTATCCCTCCACTAGAGGAGACTCCTGAAGGAAACCCACTACTTAGGGACTTTGAATTTCCTCCTTATGATGTTGTCGAGGCTAAACACGTTCGACCTGCGTTTCGGGTCCTCCAGAAGAAGCTGGTTTGGAGCTTCTTTCTTTGTCTTTTTTTTTTTTTGGGCCTTGTGTCATGTTGGATTCTTTCTTACGATTCTGACCGCATGCATGAATGTGGGATTTTAGGAAGTTGATTTGGAGGAATTGGAGCGTACCGTGGAGCCTTCGTGGCCCAAGCTGGTGGAACCATTGGAGAGGATTTTAGACCGGTTCTTCGTTGTTGAGGGAATTGTCAGGCATCTGAAGGGTGTCAAGGATAATCCCGACCTCCGTTCTGCCATTGAAGATGTTCAGGTATTTTTCGGTTTTTGTTGTCATCTTTTTGGTCAGCCAAGCTTATGCATTCTTAATGCCATACCTTCATGTCCCATGCAATGCTTACGGAGACTGATGTTCTTCTCTCCTCCACTCTCTCTCTGCTGCCTGTCCTCTGCCCCTAGACGACGTCGTTTGAACTACAAGACAGAACAATCCGCGCTAGCCCCTCGCCACGTTAGCATACGTGGCGAGTGCTAATTGAAGTATGCGAATTGCGAAACCCCGGCGAGTGGCAGGCAGGCGTGGTTCTGTCTGGGAGCGAAAACGACGACGTCACTGTGTGAAAGGACTGGCAGCAGAGACTAGAGGAGAGAAGTCAGACGCGTACTTGCATCACTCTTGGCGTTTGAGCATTTCTCATATTACGCGATGTTAATCTGTTTCCTTTTATCTATATCTACTGGCTGATCAAATGAGTACTTTAGTACCCTTTTCGGGAATTAGGTGGGCACTACTTTTGTTGTGCTAACAACGCTTAACTGTGGTTTGCAGCCAGAAAATGTTAGATTTCTTCTTAGGGTGCGGCAAAGCAAACCTATCTATAATGCATTCAAAGCTATTCGAGAATCTCCTGACTGGAAGACATTAACTGATGCTCGGAAACGTATAGTTGAAAGTCGGTAATTTAAATCTCTCATGCTATTGTTCTTGTGATTGTTTACTCTGTGTTGGCATGTTAATTTTTCATGCTTAGTTGCATTAATTGCTCTCTGGGTTACATATAAGTGCATGTTCACATGTTGTGTGTGCTTATTTCACAACTTGGAGAATGTTTCTGCGGTTTTATGATAAATTTTCTTTTCGTACTTCTTTTAATTTTAGTCAGATGTTAATTTTCTCCTGAATTAGATTAGATGGTTGGATGAGTTAGGTTTTGGGTCGAATGAGGTAGTTCTAGGCTTCTAGCTGCCCCTTGGCGCCCTCTAAACAGAAAATGTTTCGCCTATTATTTTTGGTTTTTTTGTCCTCCGAACTCTGATAATCTTGTGTTAGCTGTAGAGATGATGGGTATTCGAATTTTGATGAACACATTTTGGTGTGAATTATCTCATGAATTTTCTCTGTTATATGACACTGGACATTTTAGCTTTAAGTGTCTGACTTTGTATTCTACTTATTGGTGTCTAACTTGTGTTCTCCAATATCTGCAGGGATTGTCTTGCAAGCTGTTAAATAAGTTATATGCTGACGCATAATTTCAGAGCGTTCCTTCCTTTCTACTTTTGGACATAACAAATATATTGTGTGGGACTTGCGTAATCTTTTATAAAGTGGCAATTTTACTTGTGTCTTTGCAGGCCAAATAAAGGGGGCTGTTCTTGCTGGTTTTGCTCTCCAAGATGATAAAAGAGAGCAGTTTAATAAAATTGAGCAGGTTAGCTTTTGTAACAGTGAAAGTATGAAAAGTTGCTATATGTGACATGTGAAATTTCTTCCTCCTTGTTTACTTGTAGATATTTTTTATTTTTACTTTCTAGAATGTGAGCGTTAGGTTTTGGTTAAAATTCTTGTCTCTTCTATATGGAACCAACTGAACTTCTGAATGGTGGAAGTTGAGGCATGGGATTGTAATCTTCCATAGTTTGAAAGTTTGAACAAGATAAGCAGCATGAACTGGTATTGCTAGTCCCAGCGTAGAAAAGTTAAAATCTAAATAAAGAAAGCATAGGAACCATAATGAACCATAATGAATATTTGAAAAATTTAAGTTCCAGTTTTTTGGGTTTTGCGGATTAACATCTTACTAAAACAGTCCACATGTGCTGTGAAGTTCGGTGACTGTGGACATAGAGGTACTGTGAGGTTGTTGATGAAAGTTAATAGGAATTTTCAGATTCAGATTCCTCTTCTCTCTCGTCTTTCTCTCTGTTCTCTCTCTAGTTCCCTCTGTTCTCATAGATCTCTCTTTCTCTCTAGTCTCCTCTCTCTGTTTTTTTTTAAAAAAATTATAATCATTATTGGTTTTCAACTATCATTGCTTTTTCTTTCACCTCTGTGTACTTACCATGATTTCGTATGCAGGAGCTGGAAAAGTTATCACAAAAATTTGGGGAGAATGTTTTGGATGGTACAAATAAGTTTGAAAAATTGATCACAGATAAGAAAGAGATAGAAGGATTACCTGCTACTGCTCTTGGATTGGCTGCACAAAGTGCAGTGTCTAAGGTATGCGTTGTTGAAATAATAGGGAAAATAACAAATAAAGACCCTTAAATATGTGAAATGGTGAAATGGGTCCCTAAATTAACATGCTGTTAGAGACTGGGTCTTAAATTACAATTGTGAAATGAAGCCCAAATGACTAAAATGCCCTTCTTTTTCTCTTTCTTCCATCACCCCATGTCTTTTCCTTTCCTTCTTCTCTTCCTCTCTCTCTTCGTCCTTCTCTCCCTCTCCCTCTCTCTTTTGTAAAAAATTTCTGACTTCCCCTCTCTCTCTCTCTTCTCTTCCTTCTCTTTCTTTCTTCTACTCTCCTCCGACTTCATTCTTCTTCTCATGAACCATGACTTTCTTCCATGTTTTTCCCAACCCATTGATTTGCAATGGGAGAAATGAAAATATGTTAACCATGGA